AGCATAAAGACCCCCAACAGCAATTCCCAACGTTAAGTTTCGTGTTTACTAGTATTTATAAAAAGCAAATTTACTAAGGGGATTTATTTGTTTAAAGGACAATTTCGATTCCTAATATTTTCGTACCTAAGAAGTGAATGTTCAACATTATTTGTACTATTATTAAATTGAGTTGCCAGACTGTATTTCCATTTTTTTTTAAATACACCGCGATTGGATTTAGAGAATTGAATATACTCTCGTTTCCATTGCAAGAAATAAAGACAACCCACAATGTGTATGTTTTATCCTACTTCCTACTAATATTATAAATGAGAAAGTTTGGATGGATGTATGTATGTTTGTGACAAGTAAACGTGAAAAATACTGGTCAGATTGGGCTGAAATTTGGCATGATGATAGCTCACATTCCCGATTAACATATAGGCATATTCTTATTTCAAACATCCTTTCGGGCTCCGCCCCAGGGGCTCTGCAGTTCCCCATGTTAACCTTATGAGTATTCATATTTAAAGAAAATTAAAGAATTTAGCCAGCTGTTAAGAGTTGGTTCTATGATATGCAAAAGCATTAATAAGTTATAAGATTTACCAACAGGGTGCAGCATTATTATTTTTTTCATTATTTATGAAACAGCTAATTTGAACAGAGCAGCAACAAAAAACTGTGATACACAATTAAAACTGTAAAAGTAGGATTGTTTACAGTTATGTTTATTTTTTAATTTCACGAATAATTTGTTATATTTTGCGAATTTTTAATAATCTCTTTCTCTATTGTGTAGGTGAAGTGGTAGAATATAATGGCTATGGTAAATGTGTTATACTATAGCATACCGTAAATTTGAGGAAGAGAATTTTCTCAAACCGTGTCTTCTCACATTGCAAGCGCAAAGATCGAGTATAACTGCAATAAGCATTTTATACTTATATGCCAACCTGTACGAAGGACGGGTACTCAGCTAGTTTGTTTATATTTTCAAGTATAAATTTTTTGCAGCTTACAGCCGATGGTATAAGATAAGTAACACTTCAATACACGTGTTTTTAGGGATAAAAATTACTGTACGAACTGTTTCATGTTCAGCATTAATGGAGATATAAATTTAACCGTGTCAACGGTTTCTTGTAGTGTTTTTTGGGGATTTTCATTTAATTTAGAATAGCATGATTTCTTTCTTTTACATATGCATTTTAAAGTTAGTGTAAATATACATTTTGACAACAGTTTTACTATAGTGCTTGATTTTTCTTTACTCTGAGTGTTTATCAACCAGTAATGTTGAAATTACCAAATATCTACAATTAATTATTTTGTCGATAATATCCCACAAGCAGCATTCTTCTTTGAGCCCGACTTTGAATCATAAGACTCAATCTTTGTGGGAATTTGCCTATCTTTGGAATCCAGAAACATCAAAAACTCAAGTTTAACGATTATAATCAATGCGAAAGTCCTGTATAACAGGATCTGAGCTAAAACTGCCTCAAGGCTTGTTTAGACTCACGTGCGACGGTGTCTGCTTCTGTAGGAACCTAGACTGTGTAAGATATGTTGAGTATCGTTTTGTAACGGAGATTCTCTGGAATTTTGCTGTTATGCAGATAATATTGTCGAACAGCTGCTAGATTCATGCTTGATATAACCTTTGACTTTGAATAGTGCAAGTAGACGTTTTATATCTATATACTTATATATATATACTTACTATTTACTACTATTACTATTTACTTACTATATAGATATTACTATAATATAGATTACTATTTACTTACTATACTATATATATATTATATATACTTACTATACGCAAGCAGGTTTTTTGTGACAATTACTCCTCCGAAACTACTGTACCGATTGACATGTTTTTGGTGTCATTGGAAAGAGCGTAACGTGAAGTTGTGCAGGAAACTTTTTTTTAGGGAAATAATTAGAGAGTGAGGCCCTGGGGCCCTTTAAAGTTTCATATTTCTCCATAAGATTAACATGGGAAACAAAATTTGTTATGAAACTCCAGCTGTTGTCAGAAATTAAAAGTGAGAAGAAGAGCATACGGTATGTTGATTTTAAACAGTCAATAAGTTTGCTAATTTAACAGTTTACCACAAACATTTACTGACTTGGATGAAATGAAATATTTACAATTTTAATTTGGGTTGGCGTAAATATTACAATGGAAAAAAGTGGGAGACCCTGGATAATTTTGTATACTAAAAAGAAAACTGAATGAACACTGTGTTAATCATTGAAAGAGCCGATTTGCAAACTATGGAAACATAAGAAATTCATAGAACATCACCAAGGAGAAGAAATAGAATTTTTTTTTATAATCTTTATTACGGACAACCTAATGCGGCTATAAGTAAGGCTTTTTGTATAAAACACAAAAAAGCAAGATCAGCTTTTGAAAAATGATGACATATTTAAAAGAAATTTTGATTATATCGGTCTGTTATGTACATCTTGAGTATTGCCATAATCTTTGAGTCGAATCTTTTAAAGTGATTAGAAATTATGATATTAAAATAGTGTCATAGTATAAACAACAATGTTTACATAGTAAAAATCAACACGACAACTACATACACCGTTCAGAAACGCATTTAAAATTTATTTGGCTGATCTACAAGAATAATAAGGATGATTATTCAAAAAGTGTGTTTTTTAAACTATCTATTTACTTAACATTTAAAGTGTTAAGTAAGAATAGTACATATTCTAAATCAATTATACAAATGAATAAGACAAATGAAATAGATTTGGTTGTATTTGAATATAAAACCCCAATATTCCATACCTGACTTTAGTTTCATTGAGTATTCAATTTATTAAATTATAAGTATGTAGACAATTCTGCTTTCATTTACAAACAAGTTTGAATAGTAAATTATGAAGTTATTTAGATGTTGTGTTTGCAAGATAACCAACTAATTTGTTGTGTTTATGAGTGCATAAGTTTTTAATTTAAAAATTCGTATGGTAATACATATAGACGTTGGTTCATTTCACTTGGAATTGCAAAAGTTATGCTGTACTTTACTTGGCGAAGGTTTACTATCGGGACTGCTAGACTAGGACATAAACCTTGGCTCCAATAAAAGGTCGAATTTGAAACAAGATTGCGTACAAATTTGCATATTCCATTTCGATTAAGAAAATAAAAACTAACCAAGAATAAATTAAATAATTTATTTTACAAAAATTAAAAATAAACCTTTGTAAGAGTTTCTTATTAAAATGTACATAAAGTAATTTTAATGAAATACAAAACTTTGAAGGAAATTATATAAGTAATTATATAGTTTTATTTTATTACCAGGCAAATGAGGGATCTCTAGCAAAGGAAAATTTATTTGGGCAAGGAACACATATGTGCGACTTATTCGTTTAAGCATAGTTTGACTTGTTGATCAAACTCTAAGAACAAACCTCTCTTGAGAACGTAGGCGTGTTGTGGTGACCAAGCGACATCTTCTGTGACCTCCCGTCCACTTGACCCTTGACCTTTACGGAACTCAAAACCATGACCTTACGTTACCGAGATATTGCCATTCATACGACAAAACATAAACTTAAACAATCAGTTAATTCCCCGATGAAAAATGTTACACTCAGCCCGTCTTTTCAAAAACAATCTAATAGTTTGCATAAGAACCAAGATCGTATTTCCACTGTCGTATTTTAAACTCGACACTTTATAACACCAGATAAATGTATTTTGTTCATTTGTCTTGGAACAAAGCGCAAAACTTCCAACATAAATCAGCTCAGTATCTGTTGACATCTCTAACAATTTGTTTCAGTGTTTAATGAGAATTAATTATTTATTACTGTTCCTAAACCGAGTACTGCAAGTGTTAACATTCGTCTCAAAGCCTATATTAATATTGGTCTGTAACTTCTCTGTCTTCTTAAGTGTTCGATAATGTGTTCGGGATATTCCTTATTTTCTCATAGGTAGGTATCTTTCTAGGATTGTTCGGCTTTTAAAAACTCAAATATCTTCTAGGAATTATTTTTTACATTTTCCTATGTTTCCTCTGTTATAGTTTTAGAGATTTCATTGAGAATAGGTTGAGAGAGAGCAGGTTTGGAGCTGTTAAAATTTGTTTTTTACAAAGAGGTTGTTTGCAGAAAATACTGTCATTCTCTAACTTTGATTTAAGTCAGACACTTTTTCACAACGCCACTTTCTAGAACATTTTCTTGTTTCTCTTTTATCTTTTCGTCGTAAATTTTCAATCTTCTATTTCTCCACCAACATGCCTCTACTTTTGGCTAGCACCGAAGCACTAGAATCACTTGATGCACCGAAATTGCGAACCTTACTCAGGTGTGCAGGAGCGGGAAAAAACCAGCGAAAGAATGAATCTCCCAGATTAAAAATCGATCACCTAAGCCTAAAAAGATTGAATTTAAAGGACTTCCACCAAATGTGTAGGAAACAATTCACCAATAATTGTACGAACGCAATAAAAAAATTATTGCTAGTTGTTGAAATTATTTTCAACTTTTCTAAATCGCCATAAAGATTTCACAGAAAAAGTCCATGAAGCTGCTTCTCTACAAAGTGTGCAATTCGGGTGAACCCAAATTACCTTTGTTCGATATTTCATCTTAATTTTCCATCGTTACTTTTTTTCTTTTCACGTATTTCTTTTATCCCAGCTTCTTATTTTTTAAACTTCCAATTCCACACATACGACAAAAATCCTTCTGATTCTTTTCTTCTCAGGAAGTAGCATGAACAGATAGTTTACCACGCTTTAATTATACTCTTCTAATACAATGCCGCGAGACAAATGTGGCAACACCGCAGCCACGGCCTACCGAAACAACTGTTGCACTTCATATTGGAGCTTCTGCAATGTGTACGTTTACACGTTTGTTATAGACCGGCCGGTGCGACGTTGCCACACACCAACGCCTCGGCCGTGTATTACATGCTGTATTTTAGCCCCTTAGTATATGACTATAATCACATCTCTGTTTTTTCACAGTGCTGGACGCCTCTAGCCAGACGGCCGCAGGCATGTTGTCAGGAGACATCTACTCGCTGGGACACTACGACCAGTGTATCACTGTAGAAGTGCCAGAACTACGTATCAGAGGTCAGCACTGTTTGGCCACCCTGCACTACGGTCCTGACCCCGAGGCGTTCCCTTGGTTCTACACCCCTTCCAACGTCACCCACCATAGGACGGCGCCCACTGAAAATGTCTGGGACAAAGTCAAGGTGAGTGAATACAATTTAGATTTTATTCAAGTTTGGAACTCTCCTAACTAAAGCTGTTAACAGTAAAATTATTGTGTACATTTGTGGGGTTTCTGCACAATTTGCATGTATTACGAATTTTTCGTAAGGTAATGGTGCAGATCCTGGTATTATCTAATGTCGGTCTTTTGATAGAGAGTATCATTAATTGGCAGCCCAATCACAAATGGCACTCGAGTCTAGAATTTACTCCACTCAGAAAATAACCGGCAACATTAGGAATTAACGGTGAGCAACATATTCATTTGGATACTTCGTAAGCTTCCTATCTGGAATAAAATCAAACTTTGTCCAAATTACGTTGCCGGTCAGTACAAATTTAGAATTCGGTAACATTGTATTAAGAGGGGGATCAGTAAAAACCAAAGTCAATGTTAACGAATACAGTTGTGTGTCAATTCAGGAATATAAAAATTTCTAAAAAAAGAGAAGAGTCCGTAAAATCAGCAAAGTCAAGTATGAAAAAAAATTTGGAATCTAATAAAATTCAAATTTTTGTTTGAATTGATCCAAGTTTTAAGGCCTTCTTAATTAAAGAAAAGAGGTAGTAAAACCTCAAGGTTTGTCGTTGTCAAGGTGAAACGACATTTAGAATGTGTTTAAATTTTAAGGGTTACATAACCAAAGACAACGAACGACAAGTTACAAAGTCAAGGTTTGAAAAACAATTAGTTAACCCTTTAAACTGTCCCTTGCCGAAGTTTATCTCTACCCGATCAAATTGATGACATGAGTGAAAATGGGTTCTAATGGTGGGTAAAATTTTACTCAATCCCCGAAGCAATTCCAGCGAAAAAAAATCTCCAAATGTCACATTCTTTGTAAAATCACGATTAAATGGGCACATATAGATCAGTAAAAAATGCCTACGACTTAAATGTCTATAGTTTTGTTTGTTGTTTTCGAGTAGATAATTTAAAGGGAGAGATCAGATAATAGTGTTTGATTTACATACAAACTTAGATTTGAATTAATTTGCTGCAAATACTCCACTTAGACTATTAAAACTGCTATGAAGCCCCGTCCGTTGGATGTCTTCCTGGACATTGTTCTTTCTGATGCAAAACTTTTTTGCTCCAGTTTAATCATGTAGCCTTTGCACGTTCGCCAGCAATGTCATGCCTTATTCGCTGATGTTGGAAAGCAGGTATTAGTTACTGCGGTAAGTAAATGTTAGTTTCCGCGAAAAGTTGTTGGAATTCAAACCAGCAAGTCTAGGATTGAGAGGTCAACTAGTATATTACACACAAGGGTACGTTGTGTCTTGCTATCTTGTCTTTCAGTGATGATAAATGTTTACCTGTTATTTCAGGGTAGATTTTACAGTTTGCGCTAAACTCTTTGGTTTTAACACAAACAAGGAATAATTTACAAATAGATAGTTAAAATAGTTTGACCTAGTACGTACATCGGACATAAATAGGCCTACCTTAAAATACATGAAGGGCATCTGTTTAGACGACAAATCCAAAAGAGAGTAGATTTATGTTTCAAAATTCTTGCTATCAAGACTGATTGTACGTATATATGATAGGTTGTGTACATTTGTCCGTCTTCAGTCTTAAATTATGTCTGGTAATACTTCCATCCAACCTAAAATTATAGTTTAAGTAATCTGCCAGACGTCTTCACCAATAGTTTTTATCAAGAAATGTATCTAATCTATGCTTTTTCTTAGAACAAGTTAACTCGTTAAGTTTTATTTCGTGCTCGTATCTCATACGACAGATTCAATTTATTCATTTACAGTATAGGTTTATCATTCTTATCGAACACCTGAAGACAAGTTGAAGGTATGCATACGTCCGGAAGGGTTTGGAACGTTCATGTACCCTCTTTAGGTTATTTTATTTATCTTTAAAATTATAAATTACCTAATAGAACGAGTCATTGGTCCATTTTAACTGTTGTTTTTACCAACGATTATTATTATGACCAAAGAAAAAGGTTAATAAAAACTGTAAAATCCTAAGATAATGGACAATAAACATCAACACACTCAAGCATGACTGGACGGGAATCGCTCACTATCAGAATCAGACATTAAGAGACAACCCAGTCGTATAACGCATATCAGAAAACATCGATCACTAACTGACAAATAATCGTAAATGTTCATCCATTCCGTTTGTAAACAACGGACCAGTCATCTCGACAGGTCATCTAGTGAGTCACCAAAACACCCTCTCTGAAATTGTTATTTATCTGTAACCTTGAATGGGGTTTGTTTGGAACACAAAAGGACCGAAAGCTGGAACTACTTTTTATAACTCTCCGCGATGCGGAATCGCCGTACGTCACGTGCCTTTGTCCTCGGCGAAATTTATAAATGGCGACAATGCCTTGAAACTTGAAACTGAAATGTCATGTGCCGAAAACTCTGTTTAGGAAGAAGGAACTGATTTGGTATTCTTATAATTGTTTGCGGTTGGTAATGGTCTGATCGAAATTCCTTTGACTTCGATCAATTAGGTAATATAATCTCGCGTCTGTGTGTGTTAAGCGTGCATGTGTGTGATAGGACCCATAGGCTATATATTTTTAAATTCACCTAAAAGTTAATCAAACTTAAAAAGGTTTAAGTCTTACATTTTTAATTTTACAAGTTCAGTAATCATTTTCAGAAATTCAGTAAATTTATCAAAGAAATATTGCGATTAGATTGAGTGCAGAAGGGTTCCCGTATAATTTATAACCTCAAACACACTTTAGATAAGCCATTCTCAATTTATTTTGATTTTAAATTATTTACGCAACGATCGCGTAGATATAATGTTAACAACACGAGTAGAAATTTAAGGTTCGAGCCTTAGCGAGTGCCTTAAAAACTTCTACTACTATTTAGGCGAATTGCTTACACTTCTTTACCTACGACCGCACATTTAAAATACACTTTACACAGCATATAAAAACCAGACGCTAAGACATAAATAAATAGGACGCGTCCTTATGGAAAACATTTGTATCTAAATTGACACATAATTCATAACAACTTCGAGATACAGAAGGTTACTTATTAAATTTAGTTAGATATCATTGCATACAAAAGAGTTTGGCTTTGATTCAAGAGTCTGACCTCAACTCTCAACCCGATGGTGAAACAAGTTTCTAGTTTGGAACCTCCAGATTATTGAAGCTTCCCACTCTTAATGTAAATGATTGTTTTGTGCAAATTAAACAACAGGAAGTAACGGTAGGTTTTTTAACTGCATTTGTTTAACGATTCGACGATGATTCAGTTTTGCAAAAACGTCTAGATTGAGGCTAGGTACTAAAGTTAAAGTACTTCGTTTAATCAGAAGGGGGAGGGGAATTAGATGGAGTTGGACTGATTGCTTGGCCCGCTGATTTTATGAAAATATAGTTTTAAAAAATCACCATTGTTTGAATTTGAAGGAAATAAGTTTGTAGTAATATTCCGTTATCTGTCTTGAGATACTGTTTCCTACAGGTTACAAAGACTGTAACGTCCGCTCAAGGTTTTAGTCATTCATCTTCTAACGCCAAGTCATGATTGATAGAACTACACATAGCGTGAACGATTCATCATGCGTGTTATAGTCAAGGAGGACAAGAAATCAGGACTAGAAGCAAATCTGGATCGTCTGTTTTACATACTAGAACCAATTTGTTACGTTCGCCCGAATGGGACTTGCGTTTCCGTGTGGGAAAGGTTAACAACACGCAGAATGGTTTTCTCAAATGACATAACAACTAATACGAAAAAATCTTTTTAATAATAACCTGATTTAACTTAATTTTGACATTTTGTACGCTTCCTTTTTTTAAGAAAATAAGTTTTTTTATTAAAAATAAAAATTCGTACGAATGCTCGGCAATATCGTTCAATTCTCCCATTTAAATTAAAGGTTTAAATAAGTTAAACAAGAAGTGAGGGTAAAATTATAAAATTTGATCTTTTTTTGAGACGGTAAAAAGTATATGTAAAAACAACAATAGAAAATAACAGACACTGCTGGTTATTTCCTAGGTTTAGGCTAAATTTTAGCATGCTTACCTTACTGACAAAACAGTTTAAAAGTACACAATTAAACACATAAATTGCAACTTCCATAACTATATAGGCCCTGCTTACATTTGTAGGGTCTTAGGCAATAACAGAGTTGTTCTTTTTATAGGCTTTTCTGGAGAGAAAGTAGTTCTGAAAAATCTATGTTTCATTTGTTTTAATTTGTGTAGTTTCAAAGTTATTCGTCAATAAGGTTCCTAAGCATTCCGTCCTTAATCCCCACAAAATGCTGAAATGACAGAAAGTTTATTATATACGACTTTTATAAGATATCAAAAATAGAATGTAACATTTACAACGGAAGGATACTAGAGGAGGTGTGAATTGCAAGGTCAAGACTGGTCAACCTGTCCCGCTGGAAACCAAATACAGGACTGGTCCTTGGTCAACATGTGAGAGACAAGTGCTGTACACTGTGTTTTACATATCCAAAAACAGTCACTGGATTGGTAGCTAAATTTGATAGCATCAGAACATGTGTGATAGGTTCATTGACACGTTGCCTTTGTACTACGCAAGTCCTGCAGTCAAAACGACCTTGAACTAGACGGGGAAACTCGTTTCACAGCATGTGCCGATATATTTCAGTGAAACCTGACTCTATCGAAGAAAGCTGTACCTACTCTATGCATTGAATTCTTGACCTTCCAATAGACTGTTTATATAGCCTATTTTTAATGTTTATGAGCATGGCCCCCTCTCTACTCGAATTCGAATACAAGGCTGTGGCGAGACATAAGTGGCATCGCTGCAGCCTCGGCCTACCGAAACAGCTGTTGCACTGATTCATAATTTATAGCTTCTGTGCAATGTTTATGTTTACATGTTTGTTACCATTGCAATATGCCGGCCGGTGTGACGTTGCCACACACCAACACCACGGCCTTGTATTATAGGAGGCTATGAGTCATTGGAATTGGTCGCTATATTT